ATATATATATATATATATAATAAAAAAAAATATATGTATATATAAAATATATGTATATATACCTATATATATATATAGGTATATATATATATAATTAAAAAAAACACTTTTCTGTCTTTTTCTCTATAACAGTAAATATTTATAATAATTATATATTCGTACCTTCAGTGGCGTATGCTAGAGCGATAAATACAAGACAAGTGAACGTATGCATCTTTGATTGCAGATTTGTTGCTTGGAACTAAAATGAATAGATGCATTCGTAACTTTATATATGTTTCTGGAGTAATTACAAGAAAGATATAAATCACGCGATTGTGATGAATTTTTCTCAACGCGGTATCGCACGATAAAATACTGTTATTTATATTTTTCACCTATTGATTGATAAAAATGATAATTGTAATTAAATTTGCATTTTTCACTGTCATAACTTTTCACATGTTTGTATTAGACCACACATTGAAGATTAAGAACTGCGAGTTGGAGATCAGAATTTGATCTATCAGAATGAAACGAATTAAAATTAATATTATCTGATTGATCGCATTCTAATCTTCAATTTCCAGTCCTTAATCTTTAATCCATAGTCCGATACGCTCTTTGAAAAATTCGGATTTATCTGATTATCTCATAAAATACATATAATCTCATGGTTAATTTTTATCGATTACTATATCTGACATTCGTACCCACATATCATTAAGAGATTATACATATATCGTATACTTAAAGGTCAATACGATTCTTGTAATGTAAATAATTACAAATTTACCTAATCTGAATCAAACAAATATATAAATAAGAAATAAGAAAAAAAATTTATTTACAAACAAAATAAAATAAATCTTTAATAAAATCTCGAATAAAAGTTATTTGTAAAAATAATTATTGTACTTAAATAATGCATATTATATATTTACTAATACTTCTTTTGATTGTTATGCCATCCCTATGTGAGTGACGCGTGAATTTTTTTCAAGAGCTCCGTTGTCCATTCGTGGATAATGCATGGTTTTACTTATTTGATTAAGAATGATTGTATTATGTATTTGTGAAGACATCAAGAGAAAAACAATAAAATATTATTAAAATAATGCATTAAATTTTTTTAAAACAGAATTATTTGTTTTATTTTATCTATTTAACTGTTTCACGCTCAAAAAATTCTATTTCAGAATAATAATTTTATTTTTATTTATTTTCAAATTACATTATTAAATATCTAATGATATATGTAATATAAAGTACACGTTAATATGCATTCATTATGTTTATTAATTTTGTTTGTTATGTTTCGTATATATCATATCAAAACATAATAAAGTTTCGTATATATCATATAATATATATATATATTTTTTCGTACACATTTATTTTCTAATCTAATTTTGCATATTTTATAAACATTTGGGCATTTTTGGACTTTGGGATTCTCAGAGTTTATATTGAAATCTGTTTGATAATTAAAGTGTTCAATAACGTTTATTTAAACAATGTGTTATTTAAATAATCATAGCATTTAAACAAAGATATTTTTAGGCGAGACATGTAGATAAAAATAATGATTTATACACATAGTAATTATCAGAAAATTATTTTAAATTCTCTCTTATACGCACACACAATTATAGTCATTATTTATCTTACATTATATTAAACTTGTTAAACGTTTTATGACAGAATCTCTATGTAATGTTTATGGGATAAGTATCAAAGAATATTAATACATTTAAATAATAATGCGTGCGTATAAAATATATTTCGTTTTATCCTATTATTCAACGATATGTTTTCAATAAACCGCATGTTTTTGGATCCAATCCTGGAAAGAGGCTACCCTACTGAATACATCGGGCGATCCACGAGCGCATGGTTGACCGAATGAGACAATGCCGATCTGAACACCTTCAGCAACAAGAGGACCACCGGAATCACCCTGAAAATTTAATAGAGACAAAGATTAATTATTTGCTAGATCAAAATTTTATTTAGTTTAATTCACTCGTTATATTTAATTATTATAATATAATTTTAATACTGTGATATTATTTTTTTAGTCTTAAATTGTAGAGAAAAAATTTTCTACTTTTATTTTATGTATAACTCTTATATATGTATGTATACATATAATTTTATATATCGAGAATAAAGTCGCAACTTAATATTATCTCCTATTTAATATTTAGATATTTTTAGTGTTTGTAAAACTCAAATCTTCATCACTATATATATATATATATATGTATTTGTATTTGCATTAGAGAGATAAATAATGGATTATGAATACTTTTCTCGTTTATTGCACGTCATTTACAACAATAATTTAGGTAAAATAGTACTTACGTGACACGCGCCTTCGCCTGCTTTTGTTAATGTACAAATGTGAGTAGACTGTACCCTCCAGTGTTCTTGTTTGCATTTATTTTGATCATAAACAACCAACTCGATCTCTTGTAATTTGTCAGGAACTTTACCACCAAGCTAAAAGTAAGAAATATAAGAAGTTTTTTTATAAACTTACACAGCATAAGAAAAAATTATACGTATATAACATTAGTTTAGTGCATGTTCATTAAATTTTTAAGTAAATTAAAAAAAAAATTAATATTAATCTATCAGCACATTGTGCAATTTTAATTTTTTTATGTAAATAATTTCAAAAACTTTTTCTACTCATTGTGAACTATGTTTAATCATAACACAAGAAGAAATAAATAATATAATTATTTCTTATTATCAATGTTAAAGAAATACAATTTTAAGGATGAAAAATCTTATATTTTAATAAATTTTTAAAATAAAATTTGATAAATATTAGATAAAGCCAAAGGTTTTGTTATATAAAATGATCTCTGTTTAATGCTTACCGAAGTTCTTCCCCATCCAGATAAAGTGCAGGGTTTGCCAGCTGGAGTAAACGGAAATTCGGGAATTGCAAGTGTTATGGGCTGTATATTTTTGTTGAATTGAATAGGATTTTTCAGAATAATTAAACCGATGTCATTGACTAATGCAAAAGGATCAAAACCCTCGTGAACGATGACTTTTTTAGCTTTGTAGACGGTACCAAGCTCGCTTAACAGATTTGTGCCGGCGTGGATAGTTAGCGCTTCCAGAGATGGACCTGATTCGTAGCTGTTAAACAGAACACATTTTGATTACTTTTCATTTTTCAGGTAATTTTAAATATTGCTTTATTAGCAGGTATAACAAAAAGAATTTTCTATCCTATATTCACAGGTACGTGTATAAATAATATAAAGCAAGAATAAAGTGTACGTACCCCACTATACAATGAGCGGCAGTGAGAATCATATTCCGACTTAGAATAGATCCGCCGCAGGAATGACTTCCGTATCTTCTCAGAGATACTTGATATGGAAACTTGTCGGGTGGAGCATCCTTTCCACCAACAATCTGAGTGTTTGGAAAGCCTGTAAGATGTGTGCAATAAAACAAAATGTAAAACAAAATATAAATCAGAATTATGACGCAATGCTGTTTAGCTTTTAATAATATAAATAATTATTAATATATTATATTAGTCCATAAATTATTAATAAGTACGTATATACAATAATTTTTTACTATTAAATTTAAGAAAATGTGCACATTTTATTTCTTATTAATTAAATTATTATAAAAGAGATATAAGATGTTAAGAACATTATTTCGTGATTATCATCTTAAAATAATCCAGTTTTATTCTTTTTGATACATACAAACTTTGAATTAATATATAATTAATTTTATTAAAAAATCACAAAAGATTTTTTATATTTAAAGTATTATAATATATATAAATTTAGTAGTTTTACTTTAATTATTACGCAAATATAAAAAATTCCAAGTTTGTACGTATTTGCCACTTTAATTTATAGCTTGTAAAAATGAAATGAAATGAATTAAATAATCAAAATTAATTATATTTGTTCTCGCTTACCGTGAGCGGCTACCGCTAAGCAAGCGACTACCAAAGCAAAGAACGCGTGCATATTGAAAGCGTGTTACTGGGTAATAGCGTAGCTGTTTCATACGTTTATATAGGCGGTTTTGAGTACTTCATCAAGAGAATGTACTTCACAATGTATATATGTGTATATATGTATATATGACACGTAAAAACGAAATCTATTTAATCCAGATTTAATCATTAGATTCTCTCGAAATGAATTTGATAATTATCAATTTATGCAAGACGTGTGAGATTGAATTGTGTCTACGAAGATCTCTATCAGTCGGTGAAGAATTTATTTCGAAATCTTTATCTGGATAACCAGTCGATACGATAATTAAAAAGAGACGCAAATTATTCATGGAACCATTTTAAAAACAAAGATTTTCTCAATAAATATATTGATAATACATTGGGATAGCTCGTATATTTCCTCTGTATTGCAATTTTATGACAGTTAAAATTATCATAAACTGGAATTTGAGCTATTCAAAAAAATTATTTTTTAATGCTAACAAATAAATTGTAAATGATAAATAATTGGCAAAACTGTGCTGTTTTAAAATATTTGAAAATTTATTATTATATTACATGTCAATTTATATATTATTCGCAGTAATAATATAAAAGCATTAAATTCCATTTAATTCCTATTCGATATCAACCATATGCTCTTTGATCCAATCTTGATATGCGGATACCTTAACAAATTTGTCAGGTTCTCCTAGAGCGCATGGAGTCACAAAAGATGCGATTCCAATCTGCACGTCCATGGCTATGAGAGCGCTACCTGAATCACCCTGCAACATTATGAGAAATCGTTAGAAGTAAAAACTAATTTTTACAATTATTTTTTTTTCTAATGAATAAACCTTAAATTATAGAGATCGTGTTAAAAATAATAATAAACTATGCGTTACATGGCACACTCCCTCGCCGGTTTTTGTAAGAGTGCAGACGTGATTATCGGTTACTCTCCATGACGAAAGCTTGCATTTCTCGGGGGAGTAAACTTTCAGAACGATTTCTTGTAAAGTGTTGGGTGTAGGTCCGCCGAGCTAAAAGAATGTTTCGTGTTCATAAATAAACAATTTGCCATCATAATTAAGCAACGCGGAAAAAGTCAAGACTGATTGTGTATAATTAGTATAATATTAAGTTTCTCAAAAATGTGAAAAATAAGAAAAATGTGACTACAATATACAATCGTTAGATAGTAGAAATTGTGTAATTAACTATGTAATTAACTATTTTCATCTATAAGCATTACGAAATATTTATATCAATAAAGATCCGAAAAAACTTGAAAGACTATGATTAATTAATACAGAACATTGCATACTCTAAAGAAAGAAATTTACAAACTTTTTACCAAACTACTGATATTTTAGTTGCTGTAAATTATATATGTATATCTCACTCTTGACTATTAGGTAATATTAAATTTTTGAAAATTTACTGAAGTGGTGCCCCAACCAGACACAACGCAAGGAAGATCTGTGACAGCGATATCTTTCTGTGCAAGCCGAATGGGCTTTACCACATTGGTGAACACAATGTCCTTGTTTAATCGAATGAGACCAACATCGTAATTAAGTCTGAAATCGTCGAAACCAGTGTGCCACGTCACACTCTCCGCTTGATAAACATCACCTGTCTCGTTTAAATAGATCGTACCAGCGTGTACTTTGAGTTTCTTGGCATCGGTGACACTTAAAAAAAAATCATTTTGTTAAAATGCAAGATAATTCTAGCTCTTCAATTTTCAATATCATGTACGATAAATTCTTAAAATTCGTTATATAATATTAAATTTATATAATATTGAAAGAATAACTCTAACTTTTTAAGTATTTATTTAAAAAAATTAAAATTTTATAAATGGTATTTTTATAAATTGAAGGGATTTAACATAACATAAGAATATATATTGCAAAATATTATAACTGAATAAATTCAGTACAAGTAACATTGCAATAATCTAATACTCTTTTAGCGTACAAAAAATTTTTATTTGCATATATATTGTGTGTAACATTTTTATTATGATCTTTAAAAAGAAACTCTTTTAGTAATATTTAGATCAAATCGTGCAATCCACTATTGACAGAAAGTGCTAGAATGTGAACAATTAATATAAATCACAAGGACACTTACAAATTTACGCAATGAGCTGCAGTGAGAATGTAACGTTTGTTAATAATTGATCCTCCGCAACGAAAGCTGCCCTCATATTTCAAGGCAACATGATGTGGATATTTTCCGAGCGGTGCGTCTGTGCCGCCGATGATATGCGACGTCGGCAAACCTTATAAACAAAGAATTTTACATATCGTAATCTATTTAAAAATTAATCACTTTTGTATAAAATAATTTAATTAATAAATGTATAAAAAATTTAAAAAGTATATATATGTATACATAAATTTAATTACGCACATTTTATTATTTTCTATTTTTTATTTTTATTCTAAAATAATTATTTTATTAAGATTTAAATATTACAAAAATATTATAAGAATATTATAATAAAAAGAGAGAAAATTAAAAGATCAAATGTTCTTATATTTTATACAGATAAAACAGATTATATCAATTTTATTTAAACAAATCTAATTTATAAATATTATAAAGTTAGTTCTTCAAGCGCGTAAAAAGAGCAAGAAAAGATTATTTAAAAGAGATTTATTATTTTACCGTGAACTGTAAATACCAAAGCGATAAAAAAGAAATTAATTGCCGCGTACATGATTACTGAAATATACTGTGCACAGACGAATGGCGACAGTATTTATAGTTAAGCAGCCTTTTATAATTCTTTCATCACCATTATCCTACAATCTATCAACTTCAAATTAAAAGATCTCAAGATGCACAAGTATTTGTATTTGTATGCTGTGATATTTACACTCACAAAGAAAATAACTTCTCGATTTGAAATAAGATTGGATATATATGATTTCAAGTGCTCAATTATTGTCGTTTCTCATCTTTATAAATATATCAATTTGTATGTATTATATTTTACGACAATTAAACACATATTTTTATAATAAATTGGCAATTTTTTATTCTTGAATACATTAGTTTTTTTTCAGAGATCTCTAAATATAAATATACACAATTTTAAACAAATCTTAAAATTTAATTTAATTCTTAATGATTTTTTATCCTATAGTTTTTTCGTGCGTATATTTTTCACAAATAAGAAAACAATTAAAATTTGTAAAGGTTGTTTATAAAATAAAATTGAATCGCGTCTATCGATACTAATAATATATATTTAGTAATTCTAATTATATTTTTTATATTTTATTATATTTTTGCATATGATGATTATTAAATATTTACATATATATATATATATTTATATTTATATTTATATTTATATATGCATTTATTTGGACATTGTACCTTATACAGATTTGATAAACATTATTATTAAATATACAATACTATTATTTATCAGAATTGCATGATTAATATCGTTCCCATTTCTTATCTAAAATTACGGTCAAAGGTTTTTCCAACGCGTTATCTAAAAGAAGATTTAATTTGGTTGCGATTTTTATCATAAATAAGGTTTGATATTATCTACATCGACTATCAGCGTGTGTGGTAATCACTTTATATTACACGTAAGATTAAGTTGCTTTAATTAATACGGAGAATAACAATCAAAATGATATGATAACAAATAAATATATAAGAGCTTCATAATTTGTGTGAAAAAAAGATTCTTGAAAAATATGTAATAACATGTGAGAATATGTTTTTATACCTAACAAAGAATTAATTCATATTTTATGATTTACGATATTAGGCATTATTGTCGTTTCAAAATTGATTTTCATTTTTACAACTATAGATACTATAAAAAAGAGATAAAGGAAAGGATTAAATAAATAATTCTTAAACATATAAGTACCCAGATAGCATAGAGAGTTCAAAAAGAATTCAGTCATATGTTATCAATTCTGAGTTCATTTTCAGATGCAAAAAAAATTCTTTTTCTAAAAATTTTGAAAAAAAATTCTTTTTACATCTAAATTAAAATGAATTCAGAATTGATGGTAGACTAATTGTAAATATACAAATAAATTTTTTTTAACTCTGTGTGCTATCTAGATATTTAAGTTGTTTTATGATGCAATTTAAAAAAAATTGTATTGTTAAAATTAAATATCATGTCGATAATATATCTTAATATTTTTGACAGAGATTATAGTTTGATAAAGAAGTTACTCTTATGGTAGAGAAAAGCTATATCCTGTGTACAGGATATATATATTATAATGTTCGTTTACTGTAACCTTGGGATGGTACATTCAATCCCCTTTGAGAAAACCGCTCCCTACATTAGGGCAACAGATAATTTATTTCCTCAAGAGATGGCGCCATTGTGTATGTAAAATTACAATAGTTACATAATAAAGGAATAATATAAACATGCCAATAAAAATAGATATAAATAAAGAATATATATAAATACACCAAAACAGATATATTTTTACGTGTCATTTGTAATTTACATAATTTAAATTATAATATCATGTTAAAAATATTTCATTTCGTTGATTGAATCGTAATGTATTATGTAATCTTTATAAAAGAATTCTTTTTTAAATAAAGTTTAATATTGCAGTTTAATAAAGAATATTTTATATATCTTAATAATTAAAAATGTTTTTTTTTTAAAGAAAAAGAAGAAAATCTTAGATATTTTTATATTGTTCTTTATCATAAACAATATCACTTAAGTCTATACTAATTTACACTCTTATTTTTATATTTAGAGAAAGAGAAAATTTAGAAAAAGGAAATTCAAAAATACTTTTTTAAATAAAAATTTCTGTAAATTTTTAAATTTTATATAAAAAAATGTTTACATTATGTCCATAAAAATATGTAAATTAAACAAAATTCTTGTTCATAATACAAGAAAATAGATAACATCGATCTGCATGAAAAATAATACAATATATTTAAAATCTTTCGTAACCTACTAGAAGTAACTCGCTCCGTTTCCAGCACATTTAAGAAAGCACTTGCGCAAATAAAATTCCGACAATGGCATAAACGAAGCTTACGGTAGGTGAGGATTTCCTTTACTCTTGTCTTTTACTTTTCGAAAGTCTCAAGATGTCTGGCTTGTTCACGTACCGACACGCCCGTTGAAAACTTCGTAACGAGAGGAACGGGCTGAAAGACAATGTTTGCAAATCATTAGTCTGACGATAAAGGCGTTCTCGGAGATGAAGAGGCGGAAGTCCCTCCAACTTGATGTCTCATATAAGAACGAGCGAATTGCGAAATAACTTTGACAATTTAGGCCCGTATCGTTTTATCAACGCGCCTTGTAAAAGAGACTGTAACTTCACGCAAACCGCGCGCTAAGAGAGAGACATAATCGTCGAGCGAAAACTTTTTCTCGATTCGCATAAGAATCCGAAAGAACGTGGATTTTTTTATGTCAGACGACGGATGAATGTTTTAACGAGATCTCTCTCCGAGATGAAAATTTTAAATTACATTCTACCGGGAAAAACAAAAGTACCGCACTTCGCGGAAGTGAGCACGTCTCTCGCTCCGTCATTTAATTCATTACGCTTTCATCCCCGTTTATCTAATTTTCATTTAATTAATATTAGGTGTGAAAATAAAAAATTAACAATAAGTTTATAATGTACTACGCACAAAAATTTTCAAGAGAGAATACAAGATATAAATAATATAACTAGTAGTCACTTGAGTTTATGAATCCTGGATGACAGTATATGTTTTTTCTATCTATATTAATATTTTAGCTACAAAAATAAAATTAACAAGTTTATAATGTACTATGTACAAAAATTTTCGAGAGAGAATACAAATTATAAAATAAATAATTTAATTAGTAGTCCTTTGAATTTATGAATTCTGAATATATGTTCCATTTTTAATTAAGTTAGTAGATTTTTCCGCATAATATATATTTAAAATATCTATTTTATATATATAACTATATATTTTTGTACGTCATTAGTTGATATTAAATTAAATTTCACTTCGTTTTCAGTTTAATATTTTTGCAACAATGTATAAAAAACTGTATTATTTAACACACTGTGATTGCAACTATATTCCGTAATGAAATCTCATTCAAGCAGAAGTAAATAATTTCTTTTATCGTCCAGCCACAAATGAACATCCTACTCTTTAGGATGATTCTCATGGCGTAGCGGGAAATAAATATACAGGGGATCTACGGTCCCCAAGGATCGGGTGCGAAGGCGATTGCCGAATAACAAGAACCCTTCGTCTAGCGTGAGTCTTGATCCTGTTAACAGGATCATCCTGGCACATCGTCGATGAGACCGTGAGAGAAAATTAGGCGCATTTGGATTTCTCGTCGCGTTGCACGAATATTACCTCGATGGTTCGATCAAATAAGCGAAAAATAAATAATAATAATTATTTTTTACCGCGCATGCAAGTTTATCGTTTCCTCATAAAATTTACCAAGTCATTTAACGACAAAGTTTTTTATTATTAATGTCGTATTTAAGAGATAAATATAGTAATATACTAAAAACATAATTCATAAAGGAACAATAAAACGCTACATATAAAATAAAATTTTGTGCGATTAAAATTAAACGCAACCGTTTATCAAGATGCCTTCCGACGGGAAGCGATACTCGATTCCGAGATATTTTTTTTTACCGGTAGTCTATTCCGCACATTAGGGTGACTCGTATCGCGCGGTCACGATATTTACATATGCATATCATTTATCGTATCACTGGGGAAAAGGCTCTCCACGCCGGTAATATCCCACAGGACTCTCTATATATCCAAATCGCATTACCGCGCTGCCCATTCCGGGCTAAGCTGCGCCCCGAACGATTTGATATGCGTGAGCTATAACCGAGTTAACAATCCGATATGACAGATGGTGTTTCGTGCATACCGTATCCCCGATTCGATACCGCGCTGCCAAAGCGTAACGCAGTATTCGGCCTCGACACACTGATGACATATTTCTGGACGTCGGGTATCTTGCGCCGAGTATCGAAGTGATCGAAGAGCGTCGCGAAAACAACGCTCGGCAAGAGAGTCGCGCGCTGCCTAAAATTGTCCTTTAATCAAGGATCAATTACACACGAGCGCACAGCTGAAACGAATAAATCCTCACGCACGCACGACGACGGCTGCGAACTTTGTTGCTTACCCGCTAAAGGGAACCCGTTAATCGCGCTGGAAAAAAAAGGTGCAAAGGACGCCCGCGAGCGTCACGGCTGAACGGAATCGTTTCGAAGATTACCGCTTTCGGAAACGATCAGCGAGGTTCTACCTCCACCCCCGAGTCACGTCGGAATCCTCGAAACGGCACGACGCGGCCAGAGTCGGTTTCTCCGAGCTCCTTTTTCCAGTGTCCACCCGATTCCGCGCTTGGCGGCGTATACTTACGACGGTTTTACAGTCGGAGGGAAAGAAAGAAAGAGAGAGAGAGGTGAGAGGAGGGGGCGAGAGAGTCGGGTCGAGGCGGGCGCGTTCTTCACGTAATCGCCGCATTTGAAGGAAAAAAGAAGCCGAGAGAGAAAGAAAGAATTGCCGAACATCTCGAACCGAGTCTCGGGAGATCGATGGGAATTTGCGAGTCGTGGGTGCGACGACCCCCGAAAAACGCCGTGCGCGAGCGCAGCGCCGAAAGTGCCTTTTGAGAGTGGGCGATAGTTACTTTTATGCCCCGTAATTATACATTCCTCTGGCCGTGAGGCGAGTTTTAGGGTTACATTTGGA